GTTCAGGAGACACCCAAATATATTAATATCATACAGTCTTCATGGAGGCTCCTTTCATGTCCCCCATGGTAATAAAATGATTATAAAAGGCAAATAATCTGGTATTTTATATTTTAAATTTTATGTCATATGGCAGTGGTGGCGAACCTGTGGCACGCATGCCAAAGGCAGCATTCAGAGCCCTCTCTGTGGGCACGCATGCTGTGCCCCGGAGATGGCCAGGGACTGGCCCCCGCCGCCCTGGCCCCACCCACCCAGTCTACCAGGACCACTGTGGCCATGCCTACCCGGCACCCGGTGATAAATAAGTGGGTTTTGGGTTGCAGTTTGGGCACTGGGTCTCTAAAAGATTCGCCATCACTGTCATATGGTATGCCTTATTTTAACTGTGATGCTTCTGACACGAATAAATAATAAAATCACTCTCCATCACCATCAACTGAAACTCCCTGCTTCGATAGTAGAACCATGGCAAGATAACCCCCCAACTGCTTGCTGCAGATGATCTAGATCAGGGGTGTCAAACAGCCAGCCTATGGGCCAGATGCATCTTGCTGAAACTACACCCACCCCAGCTCTGGCAATGGGGGAAAAGTTGCGATACGTCGCGACACGTCATGTGACGTGGTGAGTTTGACACCCTGGTCTAGATTCTAGAAGGACGTGAGGGTTAATGATAACAAACGTAATACAGAAAAAAAATGCAAGGACTGGTCGAGGCAGTCACTTAGAGTCCACAATTTATGGTCTTATGGTTTTAAATGTTTTATATTATATATTTTATTTTTTTATTTCTCCCCTCCCCAACTTTTATTGTTTTATCCAAGTATGAAATATAAAGGAAAATAGAAATAGAAAATTAGGGGAAAGAAAAAAAAAGAGGGAGAAAGAAAATATGGGGTACAAGGGAAAAAAGAAAAAAGTGTTGACTTCCAACTCTTTTTAGCAAAGTACAAAATAACAAGATTGCAGCCTCAACTTTTTACTTTTACACATTAGTATACACTAGCCATTCCTATAACAACAAATCTATCTAATCAGCAAAACCAAAGTCAAAGTTTCGTATATATTTTTTATCACAAGCACAAAATCCAGAAGTGATTTCCAAATAAAAAGCATAATTAAATATATTCTCCTCTTTGAATAGAGCAATCAGTTTAACTATTCCTGCTTTTTCTTCCTTGCTGTGGAAATAATATATATTTCTATTTGCACTTAATAATCTTTATAAATTATAATCACCATTTATATTAACAAAATTCACTGTATTCTTTCAGATTCTTTAATCTCAAAGGAAAAAAATATTTTTTCATCTATTTTAAAACACTAAACTTCATACAGCATACATTTAATCCTCCAAGGAAAGATTGAAGGCAAACAAAGTCCAGGCAGAAGAAAAACATCATGGCTTCAAAATCTAAGGGACTGGTTTTGACAAAACTCAGCAGCACTTTTTCATGCGGCTGTTGATAAAAACAGGATCACCAACGTCCGATAACGGATATGGCACAAGAAGAAGAAGAAGAAACTTTGCTTTAAAAACATTTCTAAGATCAAAAAGTTCTAATGCATCTTTTTTTAACTTCCTCTTAACATATATACTTTAAAGTTCACTTTCAGTTAGACCAGTGATTCTCAACCTGTGGGTCGGGACCCCATTTGGGGTCGAATGACCATTTCACAGGGGTCACCAAACCATGCTGTCCGCCATTTTTTTCCCTTTTCCCTAGCTGTCCTACTCCCTCTTATTGGTGGCCACACCCACTTGGGGGTCGCCACAACATGGGGAACTGTATTATGGGGTCACGGCATTAGAAAGGTTGAGAATCACTGAGTTAGACCAATAAAGTTCCAACTAACTCAAATTAACTCATTGAATTTAAATCACTCCAAGTTAACCTTATAAAATAAAAATTTTCTTCTTGTATACATTCTTTTTAAAACTCTAAACTTTTCTTTAAACTAATACATCTTTTTCATTGACTTTCCCTTAATATAGATACTTTCAAATACACTTTCAGTAATATTTTACAAGGTTTAAGAATTACTTAAGCATTATATATGAAGGAAAAATGTATTTTCAGATACGCTTTACATTAAAACTTACTTTCAATTACAAATATCAGAATGATAAGAATTCATCCTAATGCCAATTGACTCATTAAGTCATTCCTTCCAACTTATCTTCATGAAATAAAATCTTTTTTCTTTTCTAGAATGTTTATCAAGTAGTTAAAACCATCTCTTTTAAACTTCTCAAGGATTTCTCAACTTTGTTAATGTCCATGAAGAAAAAGTCCCATACTTGTCCTTTTGAAAGTTGCAGATTTTCTTGGAACTCTTTTTTAATTGTGTTGGAAGGTTTATATTTAAATCATAAATCATAAATATTGATATGCAGTTTATATTCCAAAATTGCAATTGACTCTTCTACATTGTCAGTTACTTATGAAATTGCCTTGGTGATTTGGTAACTTTCTACACATATTGCAGTAGTTTGAGTAAGGTTTTTTTTAACATCCTTGGAGCATAGCTAGTCTATAAACTGTTGGATTTTATTTAAGGATTTTTCAAATACATTTCTAATAGTTTGCTCCTTCATTTTCTTAACTCCCTCTTTAGTGAAAGAGTAACTTTTTTGTAAGTCAATCAGGTATCATAAAAATCAGAAAGTTTTAGCCACCCACAGCAAAGCAGACCAAGCTACAAATAACTAAAGATAAAAATCTAGAACCACATCTTTCTACCCTTATATTTCTCCATCAATTTTTTTAAAAACAGATACTCCACACTTCCTTATTTTAGCTGGCCTTAGCAGCCTTCTTCCTTGTTGTTTAACAATGAAGAAATCCCCAAAATGGTACAGATCTTCAAAAAAGAATAACAGGCTATGACTAAAGAGATCCTCTTTTAGCTTAATAAAGATTAAAAAGCGATTAAGAAATGAAAGACACAACTTACTGTCAGTTTGAAAAATAAATTCCAAAAAGGTTGCTTCTTCAACAACAAAATGATTGCAGGTCCCTGTCAGCATGCAGGGTGCTTTGAAGCACAGCTCCTGAAGCCACTTGCAGACCATTGCAGTATGGAGACTCTTGTGGGAGGATTTTAGGACTTTCTCTAACCCAGGAGAGTCAGATAAACTAAAGCAGTGGTTCTCAACCTTTCTAATCCCGTGACCCCATAATACAGTTCCCCATGTTGTGGTGACCCCCAAGTAGGTGTGGCCACCAATAAGAGGGAGTAGGACAGCTAGGGAAAAGGAAAAAAAATGACGGACAGCGTGGTTTGGCAACCCCCATGAAATGGTCATTCGACCCCAAATGGGGTCCCGACCCACAGGTTGAGAACCACTGAACTAAAGGAATGCCAGTTCCTTTTGTTGGTAAGTTGAAAAAGTGACAGCTCTTTCCCTGGGTGTATCGTTTAGTTGACCATCTTCACCGGAAGTGTCATATCATATATTTTACTGAATGGCAGTAAACTGCCTATCATCGTCTCGGTGAGATGGGGGAGCATAGAAATTTAATAAATAAACAAACAAATAAATAAATAAATAAAATGACTGAAAGGCATTGGGGAAAAAAAGACATGGGCAATGATGGACAGTCCATCTTGAAATCAAATATCTTACATGTGTTTCTGGAAAGTGAATGAAAGTTGTGCATACATACATTGGGATGCTTCCTAATCATTCTGGTAATGCTTGTGTTGGAAGCTTTCTAGATTGTATCCTCTATCTTCCATTTTTGTAATGCCATCAGTAACAGAATTTCCTTTTAAAACGTTTTATTTGCTGATTCTATAGTGATTTGTATTATAATTGAATACTAAGTTTTTTATGTATAGTTTTACATTCTTGACTACATACTGTAAAGATAGTGGTGGGATTCAGCTGGTTCACACCACTTCAGCAGCTAATTTTTTGTTGCCCAGGCCCAGAATGGACTTCTGGAAATGACATTCACACAGAGAATCAGTTGTTCACATATTTGAATCCCACCACTGCATAAAGACATATATATTTTGTCTTGTTACTTTGACTCTCCACCATCAGCATCATCTTCTTTTGAAATGAAACTAATAAAAAGTAAAATGTCTTTTACTTACTACTCGACTTCTGTTTTGCTGTATGATTTGGATGGGTTTTTATACTGCATACTGGGTTTTTATACTGCAACTTACTCAGCTGTTCTAGCAGAATGACATTCAATGACCCTACTACAAAATTCAGCAGCTGTGATCATTCACAGGTCATGTATTCAGACCTAACCCTATTCTCTTTCACGGCATGAGCTATCATTCAGTGGTAGGGTCATAATGTCTTAAGGTAATACTATATGGACAAAAACAATCCAATTAATCATGTTGAAACAATCATAGTGGGCATAACATTTTTCATCCAGAAATGTTAAAAGTCCAAAAAATAGTGCTATTTCCTATTTTGGGGATCCTTATGTCTTCCAAGTTATGTGACATTTTTAGCATGAATAAATTAATTGGTTTTTTTTAAAAATGTTTAAATATAATGTAAATAATTTATATTTTCATGCAAATATTCTTTTCTGGGGCCCCAAATTTGATAATGAAGCAATTATTTCATTCTGAGCTAAGGAATGCTTTCACATTCTTATTTATTTAGAGGCAAATACATCTGATTTATTGTGTTCCCCATACACTCTTAGCTAATGTGCGCAGGTATCTTGCATATTTTACATGAGATATGTGTATATTAAAATAATTTGATGTATAACGCAATGTTCCAAGAAGAAAAAAAGATGCCTTTAAAATAATGTTTCTCAACCTTGATAACTTTAAGATGTGTGGACTTGACAACTTAAAGATATGTAGACTTCAACTTCCACAATTATTCTGAGAGCTGAAGTCCACACATCTTTAAGTTGCCATGGCTGAGAAACACTGTTTTAAAAGATGGTTAATTTTCCCCAACTTTTTTTTTAAAATGCTTTGTATCATCCTTTGTATTCTGTTTTGTTTAGGTCAGTGGAACAATGTATAATACAGGGAGACATGTTTCTCTACGCCTGGATAAAGAACATTTGGTGAACATCTCCGGAGGGCCGATGACATACAGTCACCGACTAGAAGAAATACGGTTACACTTCGGCAGTGAAGATAGCCAGGGATCAGAGCATCTGTTGAATGGACAAGCTTTTTCTGGGGAGGTATGTCAATGCATTTAAAGTTTGGAGGGGGGAGTTAAACTATAAGGATACCCATGAGAGGAGACTTGTTTATATTATTGCTTTCAGAAACGGTTTGCAATCCTGCACTTCACGAAAGGCAAATCCTTAACTCTGCAGTTAGAAAACGAACATTCTGCAGCTGGACTACACCAGGCATAGCTGAGTTCATTTGCTTAATCTGTGTACTTTATTTTGCATAAAATTTAGGAGAATGAATTTGCATTACTGGCGGGGGGGGGGTGATCTGTTTTGAACCCTGTGAAACAATAGTACAGAGATAGAATGATAGCTTTGTTGCAATATCGTAGTTGTTTTCAAAGTGAGATCCACTAACCAAAATATTTATGAAAACTTGTTCAGTAAGAAATTAAATAATGGTGGTTTGGCAGGGAAGCTTTTAAGACTGCTTTTTCTTCCACTACTAATACATTCCTTGCAATTTCATAAATAAAATAAAATAAAATAAAATACAGTACATACTTACAGGCCTATGTTAGGCATTACTGTTCCTCCTCATTGGCTGAGGACCATATATCATTTCTGCAGACTACAGAACATAAATTAAATCTGTGCATTTAGTAAATCACAGATTCTAGGAGTTATTTGATAAACAAGCTGTTTTAGAAATATTTTTTGAGAGTCGGCATTTGAAAATCACTGAAGCAGGGAGCCAAAAGTAGAGCTCGTGCAATTTTAGGCAGCTTTCAGAAAGTCCAGGAACCTATTAAAAGAAATCTTGCAGTGCTCATGCATTTGATGGGTTTCCCTATAGATTTTCCAGCGTTACTTCGCAAATAAAATGAAATGAAATGAAGTAGGAATATTTCTTGTCCAAGCCACAGAGAAAGGAATTGGATTTGTACTCAAAATGAAATTTTCCATTTTGGATGCAGTCCAGGTCATTTAATGAATAGGAAATCAGAGCTTGAAGACAGGAGAGCAGTCCTGTCTTGAGTTTCAAATGTTATCCAGAAACTGTGAGAAATAAAACGGCATGTCTTTAAAAAGAAGAAGAAGAAGAATCAGGGCATAAGATAGAAAAAATCTGAGGGAGAGGCCATAAAACAAATTGCCAGGGAAAGGTAAATGTTTTATTTGGATCAACAGGAAGAATTTTAAAAACAGGAAGCGGAAGGTCATAATAACAAGAGCACACACTGAAACTGATCTCACGGTTAATCATTATTTATTTAACCACAATTTATTGAATAAACCACATGGCTGAATTTGCACAACATGCTAAGTTAAAAAAAAACATAAATTTTAAAACCCCAGCAGCTAGGTTTCCATAATGCACTATGCCAAAGCAATAGCCATAATTTAATGCAGTGTATAAATGCAACCAAAGTCTAGACAATTAAACTGAGTGTATTTCCAGAACCTTTAGAAAGATGGTTTTACATATCAGATATTGGTGGAAAATCAAAAGAATTGCTTCATAATTGTTATTCTACTTAACAATGGTTAGGCACATTTTATAATTCAGTAGAATGCATAGTGTATTGCAGTTTAAAGTGTCAACACACAATTAAAATATCATTAAAATATATCAATTAAAAGATATAACCCATATGCAATTAGCAGAAAGTACCAAACTGATATCCAAATAAAAATATGTTTGTTTGTTGCTAGAACACCTGAGACCAAGAAAGCCCTATCTGATTAGGGCTTCCAAACATATCTTTGATTGTTGCTGGAGCAAGGAAATGGCCATGCCTACTGATCTTAAAGCCTGGATAGGCTTGTGTGGCAGAATGCAGTTCCTCACTGAACTGAGAGATAATTTACAGATATTTCTGAGTACATGCTGAGGAAACTTTTAGAACTTTTTGAAAACTCTTAATCTGCATTGGAAATTAAAGTTCATACTGTATCCATAACTGAAAAGACAAGTCATTAGAACTGCATGATCTCTCAGGCTGAGGAAAAGGGCAAGAGTTTGTTCTTTTGTTGTTGTTTTAACCGTTCAGTTGTGTCTGACTTTTGGCAATATAGGCAAGTGCTCTCCATGCTACCCTGTCAAGCACAGCTTCTTTAAGTTGTTCATCTTTGAATCAATTTTGATGTTACCAAGCCAGTGTGTTCTTTGCTTGCCCCTTTTTCTTGTTCCAATAACCATTCCTAGGGTCATTGAGTTCCCTAATGAATTTGCACATATGACATGGTTGAAGTAAATCAGATGTAATGTTGTGATTTTGACTTCTAGTGATTTTTCTAGCTTTATACAATTCAGCACTTTCTATTAGTTGTTCTGGCTGTCCATGGTACATGCCATAATTTATGCCAGCATCACAGTTCAAAGGCGTCAATTCTTCTTCAATCAGCCATTCTTATTGTCCAATTCTCACATCCATATATCATTTTAGGGAAGACTGTTGCTCTAACTAGTCTGCTTTTTGTATTTATATCAGTATCTCTGTTTTTCCAGATCTTTTTCATGTTAACCATTGTAAGGTTATCCTGTGTTCAATTTCAGGAGTAAAACTGCCACTGTGAACAATTTTTGATCCAAGGAAGATACATTCTCGAACTAATTCAATTTTGTCCTTGTTAATTATAAACATCTCACATCCATCTGCAGCTGTTGTCATTATCTTTATTTTCCTGATGTTAAGACTCAGTCCTACTTTTTTAGCTTTTATACTTTATATTTCACTTTTAATATTCTCAGTATAAATATATGTTTTATAGAACTTTAGATTGGCATTTCTTTTATGTAAATGCTGCATCATGATGTATTACTCTTTAACACATCCTATTGCAAATATTTATAAAAGGTTCCTGGAATATCCTATTGTTATTCTTTCCATAACACAGGAGAGATTGTAGCAACAAAACTGTTTATTCAACTAAAGATGAATAACTACTTTACATTCAGTCCCATTTATCACTGCCTGGTGATAAGTCAATTAATGCCTGCCATTTCTTTTGGCATCATGGAACAAAACTTATACTTTTTTAAAAAACAAAAAAAATTAATTGCAGCCTTGTCAAAGGATGTTATTATAATTGATGGTGATCGTTTTCCTTACATTCCAAAGTTCAGTAGCTGACATAGTAAAGTCAGGAGTGGTTTTTTAATGGCATTATTCATGTCTTGGACTCCTGACACTGATGTACCAGCTTTTAATATTGTGATAAGTGGACAGATCTGTGCATTTTTCTTTTTAAAAGTGAGAGAGAAAAAATATTGGAATGAATTTTATAAAATAACCAATAATTGACAATAATTAGAAAACCAGTATTAGCCTAGAAAAAAACAAGAATCTGGAGTAAAACAATACCATATTTCATTTTACATGGATGTAATTGGAGATCACAACTACAGTTATTGCTATAGAATTTGTAATTTTAGAGAACATAACATGTTTGTTTTGAAGGAAAGATATGGGCATAACTACATTTAACAAAATAGTTTGGTTACAAGAAAGCTCAGATCACTGGGTAGACTTTTCAGAACTGATCCAACCCCCATCCGAGCAGGACCTTTTTACCATTGTCACAGACCAATGACTGTCTAGAATTTCAAACCTGTAAAATCCTATCCATCACACCCTAGAGTAGGTCATCTCAGTCAAACAGGTCACCCGCCTGTCATCAACACATAAGGCTTTGCTACTAAATAGCTCACAGCATTCCAGCCTCTATCTGCCCTCTTCCCCCCAGATTTTAGATTCTTCTTATACTTCGGAAATTTTGTATACCTGTTACACAAAGGACATTTTTGAATGATGTTCAGAGCTCTTTATCTTTATGGCTGTACCTTGAAACTTACCACTGGTACTTTCCTGATTGTCTGCATTCCCCTTCGACTATTATCCATACATTTACCCCTTTTCCTATCTGGAAAACAGCATTCTTATTGATCATCATCTTTCCTTCCTGGAAAGATCATCAGTGATCATCAGTGATTACCAAATTTTAGCTCCTCAATACCAAAACTGGCAGGATGCACTGCTTGGATCCTTCAGCCTCCAGGTAAAGAGTCCATATGTGTAAATAGACAGATTACCTTCACATCATCTGCCCATCTTCTTCTATGGAATTTCAGAATAGTGCCTTGGAGGGAACACTGGAGCAGTGTTTCTCATCCTTGGTAACTTGAAGATATATGGACCTCAGTTCCCAGAATTTCCCAGCCAATGTTTTCAAGCTGCCAAGAAACACTGCTCTACAATATGAAGGCATCATCTCCCTATGGAGATCCTGCTCCCCTATGGAGATGATGCTATGGAGTCATCAGAATTGTATTGGTTAGCAGAAGCTTCACTATTGAGGCCTCCTAGAAGGATGATTTTTAGTTTCTGCTTTACAGTTCTATGATTTTTATAGCTTTATAGTTGCTCTGAGATTCCAGAGTTGTGCTCTGACAGATGGCCATACAAATCTTTTACAAATAAATAAATAAGTAGTTTGGTTGGATACTATGGGTGAATGGAGCATCCACTCCAAATCTCAAGCTCTAGAACTTTCCTACTTGAGTTATGACACAGCATTAGAATGCATATAAATACATCAATGATCTCTTGAGGAATGATGATTATGAGTTGTAAGCTTTAGCAGTGAACTGCTGAAGATTGTGATGTTCAAACTCTTTTATATGGATGGTTTCGTTTATATAGCATCCCATATGGGAGCTACTCATGTGTAAAATAATCACACAATTGACAGAATGCATAAAAGATGAATGCAAGATGCAATCTTCCAGTCTTGGTATTTATCAGTAAGTTCTTGCCTGTCGCAGGTCCATAACTTTCTCTTATCCTCCACATTCTCAAACGACATGCCACGTGCTTGATAGACAATGCCAAAGAAATAACTTTATCATTTGGAATGCATTCAGCTACTACCACTAACAAAGCTAAAACTAATACTGCAGCAATAGCAATAGCACTTAGACTTATATACCACTTCATAGTTATTTGTAGCCCTCTCTAAGCAGTTTATTGCCCCCAACAATCTGGCTCCTCATTTTACTG